CTTCTGAACCTATAAGTTTCTAACTCTCGTTCTCTTATCGCAATAATTATTACTAAGCTTATTTTCGCTGGGTTGAACAGAATTAAGAATCTATATTATATTGGGAGGGTCTAAACTGAAACTGATGTAGCAAATTTCGAAACGTAAATCCAGTAACTTCATCATGATAAACATTTTGGTTCCTTGTATTGGCACGAAACGCACTTATGCGTCAAAATTAGTAACTAGATCTAGACAAACAAATTATAATATAAAATACTTAAAAATACTTTTTAAAAAAACACGTTTTTCTTGTGGACTAAAAAGTAGAAAATAAATTATGGCTCGCCCCAAAATACGTGTGTCGGGCAGATTTATGATTAAAGCGAAAAGCACACAACACACGAATTTTGGAAATTTAATGGTGAATGTACAGCCCGAGCCACGTTTTTGGGGCGAGCCATAATTTATTTTCTACTTTTTAGTCCACAAGAAAAACGTGTTTTTTAAAAAGTATTTTTAAGTATTTTATTTTCTCCTTTTTAGTCCGTAAAGTATTTTTAAGTATTTTATTTTCTGCTTTTCAGTCCGTTGCTGCACGGACTAAAAAGCATGACTTGACGTACGTAGCGATGATACGAAGCGTCAGCGCCTGCTCGTCTATAACTTAAGCGCCCGCACTGTATATACTATATATATATACTTTACTCGATTAAGCTAATTTAGGTTTCCTAATTGCTAGTTTTTATGATTGTATCTGAAATTGTTAGGCGAAAATAGCCTGCATGCCGAATTTTAGATCTCTAGAGCAATCAGAAGTGGGCTAATTTTTGTTGTCAATGTTAACAACAAACAAACAAACAAACAAACGCGAAGCTAAGCTAAGAAAAACGTGTTAAAAACGTTTTAATAACGATACAGAGGCTATCATATGGCCCAATTATAATACAAATTTCAATAATAAATCTCCGGAAAAATATATTAATCTAGCCTTAATTGCTTCTCCGCTCTGAGTAAATGTTGATTTTCCCGAAATTAATAACCCTCGTTAGGGTAATACGATCTTGGCTTCAATTATATTTCCTAAGATTCTCAAACTTAAATCCTATTGTATGCTTGAAACTTTTGTCTACGAATGATTTCGTTCGTAGTTATAAACTCGAAGGCAAAAATAAGGAAAATAGAAGTTCAATGTACGAAATTTCCTTCAGCCTTGTTTGTTTTGATGTAAAAAATATCAATTAATTCGCTGGCGCATAACTTCTAGATCTTTGCTTACACATGCAAAAGCCGCTCACACACAAAAATTTGTTTAATGGAATTGGTATTCTGTCGCTTGAGTTATGACGCACCCTTGTTTTAATATTAGAATAATGTATCAATGCATTTTTATTTTTGGATAAATAATTGTGCAATTCTTCTATTTGACAGGGCATGTGCAACTGCGCAGGCGACAGATGAAATTTGGATTATGGATAACAATATTCACTGCTTCATTGCTGGTTTTCTGCTATCAAAGCAGCATCAGACTTTCAGGTAAATGTATCTTACATAAATAACTCATAATTCTTAAAAAAAAAATTATTTCGTTTCAGATTCTATAGAAATTCACTTAGATAAGTGTTTATAATGGACTATATATAGTTATATTTTAGATGAATATAACAGGCTTATCACTTTTTACATTATTCAATACGTCTGAAAAATATACAAATCTGTTGGGAAGGTTCAGAATTTACATTTTTAATTTGCTTATTTCAATTGAATTAATACATTATCTATTATTTTATCAACGTTCATTCCAGTCTCGGGGTTATCTGATATTCGTTGAACGGCTTGCATTTATTTGTCGCATGTGAATGAAAATCATTACATTCACTTGGAAGTATTTCTCGGATTGGACAGAAGAAAATTTATAATAAAAAAAATTATAGGTGCGACAAGCACAAATTTCCATGGGAACATCCTCGCAAGTCAACTCACGAAAATCAGAAAATGTATAGTATGTCGCTGCTTTTTGTACAACTATATATTATATAGTCTTCCACTATAATCTTGTTCCTATTCATGAGACAAGAAGCACGAATACAGAGACACCTAGTACACACAGCAACTTTAGTAGTATAGAAAGAGGACATATTAACAGTTTGCATAAAAGACTGATGAAGTCATCGAACTGAGCAATTTATTAACTGATGATCGGACTAGCGCTTAAATATTCTTGTAGTTTCTAGAGTTCCGGTGTAGAGGAAGTTTGTTAGGCATGGCAACAGCGGCCAATCTTCATTGGTCCGCAGCGCCACGTCAGCTGTTACGTAGCCAATAATAAATACACGTATGTATATAGCCTTATTCATTAGCTCGTTGAACATCGTGGGAGGTGGAACGCGCACTTCTTGTTTCCACTCTCGTGTAAGTTGTAGTTATGATTAGCTCTACCTTCAATCTTAATTCACTTAGGCTCGATTCACTTAGGCTTGTGATAGTATTATCCAACCTATCAAACTAGGTTCCCTTGTCTGTTCAAAATATGCTAACCTTGGCTCCATGTCACATGCTTGCCATTTGAATGCAAATAACCATAAACCGGTGATTGTTGACCCCCGTGTTCCTTGCTACAGATAGACCTCCTGACTGGCCACCAAGGGGCTACTCATTCACGGAGTAACACGTACTGGCTCCCCATCCAGATCCATATCCCTATCCATATCCACAACCTCGTCATCATCCTCTTACCCTGGCGCTTTAAGCTTAGAACTCAGCCGCAACTTGCATCCTGGTGGAACCTTGCATCCTGGTGGAACCTATCATCCTGGTGGAACATTGCATCCTTGTGGAGCCTTGCATCCTGGTGGAAGTGATACCGCGATCTTACGCTGTTCAAGGGCACCAGTATCCTGGCCTTACTTTTTCTGCTTGATTTCTATTTTTTATTAAATGTTAAGTAAGTTACGCGCGTTTCGATTTGCATCCCGTGGAGAGGCCTGGTTGCGGTAGATTCCTTGGCTGAGCTAACCCTGGACCGTAATTGGAATTTTCCAGCTTCCCTGGACTACGGTTGTAGTAGTGACTCAGAATTCCTTTACACTGGCGACCTTGCCAGGACAAGTGTTCAGCCGTGGATCAGCCTTTACCTGCGTGCTAGACCGGCCTCGTCTTGGGAGCGATCGAATGAGCGTGGGGTCCCAATCATTGGTTGTGCATTCTGATGGTAGGGTGTGTTGAGGGGAGCCAGGGACGTAGTGATAATTTTTTTGCATATTCAGTGCTGTTGGAACGCGGAGCGTATCTTCCTGGGCCGGGGATAGCGTTAGCGTCTACAGCTCTGCGCGGTGGTGGTAGTGTCATGCCATTTGCTGCAGTTATCACTGGACAAGGTGGTAAGGCGACGAGCAAGCCACATGGTGACTCGGTAGGGTCTGCTCTCTTCGTAGTTCAGGCTAGAGTGGGCTGGGAGTCGTTCGGCTTCCAGTCAAGGAAAGCAGTCCTTTTGTTTTAGGTGAACAAACTACAGGGTAGCTCTCCAGGCAACGGTAGAGTTGTAGTAGTTAGGTAGTCAGGGTTTTATTGCGTAGGTGTTTAATGTTATAGAAATTTACGTCTTGTTATTGATTAATCCTTGTGTGCATTAATCTCCTATTCTGACGCTGTCGCGCCTGGTTGAACTAACTTATCTCTGCAGCAACTATGGCGTCTTTTCCAACTTTAGCCGAATTGCGGAGCATGGCTGAGAGCTTGGGACTTTCGGGCGCTTATTTGACGGACTTCATTTACCGCCAGCAAGAGCTGCATCGTGGTGAGCGTGCCGCCGAGCGGGAAATGGAAAATGTAAGGCTCGAAGCTGCAGAGAGAGTGGCCCGTGTTGAAGCTGCTCCTTCTGATAGTGCGGCGCGTGCTGAAGCTACCGCATGCACGCGAACTGGCCAGGGCGCACGAGATTCGTCTCTTAGAGTTAATGCCATCAGCCGTCAATGATGCTTCACTAACAGATGTTGCGTTGCGTCCAAAGCTGCCAACGTATAGGGACGGCGATGATAAAACGTCATACCGGATCCGATTTGAGAGGATTGCTTCTTTGCTGTGCAATTAAAGCGTGAGTTATGCCATTCGCTTGGGCAGTCTTTTGACCGGTAAAGCTGTGAGATTTATGCCGTAGCTTCTGAGATAACGGAGAATTATGACTCCCTTAAATTAGCTTTACTTAGTGGTTTTAATAAAACGAACGAAACTTATCGCAGCGACTTTCGATCTGCGCGCATCGGAGCCGACGAAACTTGTCAACAATTTGCTGTTCAGTTGGGTCGCCAACTTGATTTTTGGCTTGATTCCTTATCCGTTCAGAAAACTTATGGAAATATCAGATAATTCATGATCGTCGATCAATTTCTCAGTTCATTGCCCACCGCCCTTAGAGTATTCATCAGAGAACAAAATTGCTATTCATTAAATGAAGTTGTTAAGCTTGCCGATAATTGGGCCTTGGCCCACCGCGCCTATCCAGCCGACCTCAAGTCTAATAGACAGCGTGATTTTAAGCCGAATCACAGAAGCGAGAGTCTCATCATCATCACAGCCTGTGGTGATGGGGGTCACTTTGAGAAAGATTGTCTGCAGAATCCAAAGAACTATTTTAAAGGTCAGTCCTCCTCGCGTACTGTTCAATTTTGTCCAGATGACACGACGCCGCTGAAATATTTGTATAGCGGTACCGTTAATAACGCGCCGGTTTCCATGATCTGCCGAGATTCTGGCAGTAGTTGCATAATTGTTTCTGATGAACTCATTCCTAGACCAACAGGAGCGCTCCGTACGACTTTTACCGTTAGGGATTATTTAGGCCGTAAAGATAAGTTCCCCGTAGTTCGCTGTTTCATCAATTGTCCGTATTTTCGTGGCTGGGACGTGACTGACATTCGGAACTACTGCCAGACTTGTGACGTTTGTCAGCGGTTTTCCCCGAGGGGATCATTTGAGGGGATCATTTAGCAGAGTTCCTTTGCAGCCACCATGGCGGAGCCACCATGCTTGGTGGAGGACGACCTGCATCAATCCGCAGGTGACTGATAATTCACCGAATTAGACGCTCCCGTCTAAACCTTTCGTCAATTTGAATTAAGTCATGAGTCGCCCCGAGCCGATAAGAGTTATGCGTAAGCGACGTATAGCGCTTTGGTCTCCCGTCTCTTACCTGGTTGTTAAAATGTGTATATATTCTGATTCTTGTTCCCGTTTCCGTTCATGTTCTTGCCTTAGTTCGAATTTGTAGCTTAGTAGCGGTATCTAGAGTATGAATCCTACTGTAGAATATCTATATACTGTGACCAAGTCGTAAGTAAGTTAGATGAATTTCCAATGTTAATTCTATCAAGAATAGAATCTTTCGGGGGGAGTCGTGTAGAGGAAATTCATCAGGCATGGCAACAGCGGCCAATCTTCATTGGCCCGCAGCGCCACGTCAGCAGTTACATACCCAATAAGTACACGTAGATGGCCTTAGTCATTAGCTCGTTGAAACTCGTGGGAGGTGGAACGCGCACTTCTTGTTTCCACTCTCGTGTAAGTTGTAGTTATGATTAGCTCTACCTTCAATCTTAATTCACTTAGGCCTGAGGCTTGTGATAGTATTATCCAACCTATCAAACTAGGTTCCCTTGTCTGTTCAAAATATGCTAACCTTGGCTCCATGTCACATGCTTGCCATTTGAATGCAAATAACCATAAACCGGTGATTGTTGACCCCCGTGTTCCTTGCTACAGATAGACCTCCTGACTGGCCACCAAGGGGCTACTCATTCACGGAGTAACACGTACTGGCTCCCCATCCAGATCCATATCCCTATCCATATCCACAACCTCGTCATCATCCTCTTACCCTGGCGCTTTAAGCTTAGAACTCAGCCGCAACTTGCATCCTGGTGGAACCTTGCATCCTGGTGGAACCTATCATCCTGGTGGAACATTGCATCCTTGTGGAGCCTTGCATCCTGGTGGAAGTGATACCGCGATCTTACGCTGTTCAAGGGCACCAGTATCCTGGCCTTACTTTTTCTGCTTGATTTCTATTTTTTATTAAATGTTAAGTAAGTTACGCGCGTTTCGATTTGCATCCCGTGGAGAGGCCTGGTTGCGGTAGATTCCTTGGCTGAGCTAACCCTGGACCGTAATTGGAATTTTCCAGCTACCCAGAACTACGGTTGTAGTAGTGACCCAGAATTCCTTTACATCCGGAAAGTCTAGGGTTTTGAAAATTTTCTGCATTAATGTGACTGGTGTTAATATATTTGACAAGAAACTAATTGCACAGCCATATCAGACAAAAATCAGCCATATCAGACAAAAGTAACTCGGGAAATGCCAGAATTAGATAATCTTCACAAAAAAGTAACTCAAGAAATTCTTGAAGTCGATACTGATTTGGAAAATTTCAATAACCTTCTCAAAATTTTGATAGCTGCCAGCCGCTGGCTCAAGGATGTCTCGAGCTCGCTTAGTGGAGTAAATTAGCGGCTCTATGTCCGCTTTAGGTTCTGGTTGTACGAGGGAAATAAGCACCTGATTCGGATCCGGTCTATTCCTTGACAGCCGTGGGGCGATTGCAGGGCACGCAGGTACTTGGTTCCTGATACGTTCGGGCCAGACACGGCCGACTCTGAATAATGCGTTAAAAGTGCCTCCACCCTTCCCCCCTTTACGGGGGGGGGAAGGAAAAATGAATAATTTGATATTCCTCGACGAAAAAGTATCGTTACTAGAGGGGAATGAGGTTGAATTAAAGGCATTTATTGATTGTTTAGAGGGGTGATGGAGTTGTACGGAATGTAACCAGGAATACGAAGGAACTTGCAGAATTATTAGGAATTCAAGATGAATTGTTTGAACGACTCAGAAATATTGAAAATACAATGAAGAGTGAAGTTGAACATTGATTTTTAGATTTAGGAAAGATTTTAAATAACTTTTTAAATTCATCTTGCCAATTTATTTTTATCTTGGTTTCAAATTTCACTTCCCAGATTATTTTTATGAACATTTCATTGTTCGTAGTCTTTGACTAAACTCCTTTTCAAACTCTTGTTAATGGAAAAGGGTAATAAAACACGGAATTAGTATCGTAATTTTCTGATCCAGCTCAAAGAGTTTGAGGAGGATATGCTGATCATAATTAGATCACTTAAAACAGTTTGGAGTTTTGATTCGTTTCTGTCACATATTTAATCGTTGTTGTATTTTGCTCAAAAGAAATAGTGTCAATCGTTTGCTTGAATCGCAAATTCACTAAAAACTTAAAAGCAACGAAAACTCCACAAAAATTCATAGTATCTTTAAAGAAAACGTTTCGCAGTCCAGCTCCTTCGTCAGTTCGAAAATTCTAGAACACAGATAAATCAGTGATTGGTACAGTCAAGATTACAACAAAATAACCTAAGCTGTAAAACCTACCTATTTACAATTTCAAGCGGATATGAGCTAAAAGCTAAATTCAAACTAGGGCTCTGTTTAAAAATATACAATGATTCTAAATTGCACAAATCAGAAAGCTAAAACTTTGAAGTCACTGTCGGAAACTGGAACATCGCACTGCTCGGCGTGAGCCCGCACAGCCAAACGAGGTGGGCGCGACAGTAAGTTACCATTTCTACAACTCCTGCCCCTATGTTCTGCGACCCTAGAATAAAGATTGCGAGACGTCATCCCGACGTACGCAGATGCACATCGTGCACAACTATATTTATAAACTAGGGACGCTCGCATATGCATAGGGAGAGTATCTTTGTACCTAAAATAATATACGTTTAAAAATTACTTTTAACTTATTACTAAATTAAATTACTAAACACACTACTAAAATTACTTAACACTTCCAAAGAATCCAGTGTCTCCATCTTACAGATGTACAATGAATTTCTCATTTAATTTTCGAATATTAAAAAATTAATTTTTCAATTTTTGATTATATAAATTTTTTTAATATATATACTTTTTTATTTTTTATTCTGTTAATTGATTCGTGCATTGCCTCCAACTTCACACAAGTGTGCAAAATTTCAGATCAATTAGACAGGTAAAAGTGTGTCAAATATCAGTTATAAGATTTGTAGCTGACAAAATTATTTTTTCAATTTTTTTAATATTGAAAATTTTTTTTTATTTTTAAAGTCATTTATTTTGTCATTTGATTCATGCATTGTCTCCAACTTTACACAAATGTGAACAATTTCAGATCGATAGGATAAGTAGAAGTTTATAAATTTTGATTACAATATTTGTAGCAGACAAACAAACAACAAGAAATGAAGTTAAAGAGAAGTGTTATAAAAAGAACCGATTTTAAAATGGTTAACCAATATAACACGAAGATTAACATATGTGAAATACTTCGAAAACAAAAGTTTTAGCTCCCTTGACATAGTTTCGGACGCAGGGCCGAAATTAGGAAAGGAGCAATAAACAACATCCCTACCGTCGTTCTCGGGAGCAACCTCATTGTACCACTTATACATGAATTTATTTATTTGGGTAGACACCAGATTAGTCTGAAATCGATTAAGCGAAAAGTTATTGCGTAGAAATTCGAATTCAGCGTGCAGAATTCGTAGAACAAATACGAAATCCCGATGTAAAAGTGTTCGAATCCCATTAATCTTAAATCGAGACGAGCAAAAGCTAAAAAAGCTGGTACTGAGACCTGTGAAAGACGATTTTTGGAATACAGAAATTTGAAAACGGCCATTAGATTTAGTAATATTGCAATCGAGGAAGGACAGGCTATTGTTAGATTCCAGTTCCATAGTAAGTTTAATGGATTTATGCTGCAAATTTAGGTAATCGTAAAAGAGTTTAACGTGAGAAGGATGCTTAAAAAGTAAAAAAGTGTCATCAACGTTTCTGTTGTAGAATATTGGCTTAAAATCAAGAGGGCAATTGGACAGCCAGGAAACCTCGTGATGCACATAAAAATATTCGCAACTTTTCTTTTCGAAGTATTTCACAAATGTTAATCTTCGTGTTATATTGGTCAACCATTTCAAAATCGGTTCTTTTTTTAGGTACAAAGATACTGCATACATTTGCGAGCGTGCCTAGTTTATAAATATAGTTGTGCATGATGTGCATCTGCGTACGTCGGGATGACGTCTCGAAATCTTTATTCTAGGGTCGCAGAACATAGGGGCAGCAGTTGTAGAACTGGTAACTTAATGTCGAGCCCACCTCGTTCGGCTGTGCGGGCTCACGCCGAGCAGTGCGATGTTCCAATTTCCGACAGTGACTTCAAAGTTTTAGCTTCCAATTCCGGTGTTTCAGATTTGCGCATTTTAAAATCATTGTATATTTTTAAACAGAGGCCTAGTTTGAATTTAGCTTTCAGCTCTTACCCGCTTAAAATTGTAAATAGGTAGGTTTTACAGCTTAGGTTTTTGTTGTAATCTTGACTGTACTAATCACTGATTTATCTGTGTTATAGAATTTTCGAACTGACGATGGAGCTGGATTTCGAAACGTTTTCTTTAAAGATACTATGGATTTTTGTGGAGTTTGCTTCTAAGTTTCTAGTGATTTTGCTCATAAGAGTTGGAGAAAATAGCCAAATCTAAATATGCGCTTCGTGTAGGGTTTAAACGGTTTCGGTATGGCTATTTCATCATTTATGATGCCAATTCGTAAAGTTCGTTAACTTTGATAACCTCTTTGAGCTGTAGTTAACACGTTGCGAGGTTAGAAAATTCGATAGGTATTTCTAAGGAGGCTATTATTCCAGCATTAAAATTTTACTTGATTGATTTCAATCTGGTAGATTAAATTATTTTAAACCGCTTATTTAAATTATTTTTCATTCGTGCTCACTTACGATACATCTTATGAGAAAAGAGAGACATTAAATCTGGTATGGGCATAAGCATGGGTATGTGTATATGAGGGCTTGGGTGTGGGTATGGAATAGGCATCGGTACGTGTATGGTCATGGGTAGGGATATTAGCGGGCATGGGTATGGGTATGCTAAAATCTATATTGATGATTTTGAAAATTTTCCCAAAAGACGTAAAACAAAAATGTGC